CCACTTAAAGCTTTCCACTGCTTTCTTAATCCAAAGTCCCAAAATCTACATTCCAAAAAAAAAAAAAAAATCATTGCCAGGCCTATCACAGCAATGCCTGACTCCTGGTTCCAACTACTGTCTTAGTTAGGGTTTCCTTGCTGTGAAAGAGGCACCATGACAAAGACAACTCTGATAAAGGACAGCATTTAATTGGAGCTGCTTACAATTTCAGAGGTTTAGTCCATTATCATCATAGCAGAGAGTATAGCACCCTGCAGGCAGACTTGGTGCTAAGAGTGCTACATATTGTTTTCTGCTTTTTCAATGCCCCTTTCTTTTTGAAATTATTAATGGGGTTAGGGATGGTGGATCACAATTATAATCATAATTAAAACTGGGGAGGTTGAGGCAGGAGAATCACCATGAGCTTGGGTTCATGATATTTTTTTAGATGCATAAGATTATTAGGAAATAAGTCTTCATGCTTGCTAACTGTAAGAGAGAGGGTCATCTTATTTTCACACTTACCTTTAATTTGGAGTACTGAATATTTAATTTTGAAATCTCTAGAATTCATTATCAATATTCAATGAGAATATTATGATAGAGGTTTTGTTATCTTGTAAAATATTCCTGATTAGTAGTACATCCAAATCCCACTGATTGTCCAGAGAAATGGCTCAACAGTTAAGATTCCTTATTGCTCTTACAGAGGACAGAAGTTGAGTTCCCAGCACCTACCCAGTGGTTCACAACTGTCTATAACTCCAATTCCAATGGATCTGATGCCTTCTGCAGGCATAAACCTACATAAGCAAATAAAAATACTAATAAATTTTTTTTAAAAACCTACCACTGATTAACCAGTTAATTAAGGTTTTATGTCATTATAGGTTACATCAGGAGCTTAATTTTTATAGTTAGATATATGCTGGATAAAATAAGAGATACTAAGAATTAAGTAATTATAATAAATTAGACACTTGTGCATTTTGTAAGGTACTCATCACAGGGATAATAGAAACATGCTTAAGGAATGGCAAAAGTCTGGTTTAGCTTTAGAAAATTATGACCCCAGAGCCTGAAAGATAACAAGCCATAAACTATTACTTGCAAGCAAGGTATTATATACTGTGAAGTATATGTGGATGGCTTGTTGGGGGAAGGTTTGGAAGTTATTAATTGCTAGGAAGGCAAAAACTCAACCTCCGCTGTGATGGGTATACTGATAAGAGTAAAAACTGCCCCACTGGGTGGAGACACATGGAATTCATAGGTCTGTACAATTCACACAAAGGTAGTATTTCAATGGTCAAGGAAGAGTCTTCATTTAGGTTGTGCAGGCTAGTTTTTGTGTCATCCTGACACAAGCTAGAGTCATCTAAAAGGAGAGAAGCTAAATTGAGAAAATGCCTCTCTAAGATCCAGCTGTAGGGTATTTTCTTAATTGGTGATTGATGAGGGGTTTGTGTAGTGCTGGTGTTAGGTAAGATCAAGCGCTGGCCTTTGTGCATGCAGGACAAATGCTCTACCAATGTCACCGCATCCCTAGTCATTCCTAGTCTTTACTTCTATTCTCTAATCAGGTTTGTGCTGTTAATTCAGAACACTTATTCACATGAAGGAAATGTTTATTTAGTTGTTTTCTTTATTTGAGGCAGGGTTTTGCTACGAAGCCTAGGCTGGCTGCAAATTCACAGCAATCCTCCTGCCTCAGCCTCCCAAGTTCTGGGTACAAAGTGTATACCATCATACCTGGCTTTATTAATTAGCGTTTATGTGTGCCAGTGGGGGGGGGGGCACGAATGTGGAGGCCAAAAATCAATCTCGGGTTGTATTTCTTAGGCCTTGCCCACAGAGTCTCTCACTGACTAGAAACTCACCAGGTAGGTGAGGCTGGCTGGCTAGCAAACCCCTGGAATCCACCTGCTTCTGCCACCTCCTCAGTGCCAGGATTACAAGTGCATCCCTACAGTGCTCACCTAACCTTGTCTTTTCTTCCTCCTCTTCTTCCTTCCCTTCCTCCTGCTCCTCCACTTCTTCCACTTCCTCCTCTTCCTCTTCTTCCTTTTTCTCTGTTTAATGTGGTTCTGGGGATCTAACTCAGATCATCAAGCCTATAAGGCAAGTTCTTTGCCAACTGAGCTATCTTCCCATCTTGGGAGCTATACTTAGAATCCATCTGTAGGTTACATCTACTGTATACTACCCAAAGTTACAAAGTGTTGGATGGTATAGAATTCTGTTGGTTGGTGTAAGCATTCTCATAAAACAATGTAGGCAACAGAAATCCTATCCATTTCCTGAAAGAATGACATGATCAATTTAAAATGCATTTGGATTATATTTGGAAGCTCATACACAGTGTCTCTGAAGCACAAAACTAGATTTTCTTTCTAAATATGGGCATCATGATGTAGGAGAATGTGATGTCTCAACTGAGACCCAAAGCATGTGGGAAACCTAGTCAGGCAAAAGGAGGGGGAAAACATTTTGAGCAGATGAAAATGTGACAGAAAAGTAGCTTTGTGCATCTATTTTTGTGTTTTATGAGAATCCGAAGACACTCAGTACTTACAATACCGTTCCAGTAACTTGTGTGTTCTACCATCAGATGCTAAGCTTTATAATGGCAGAACACAATAATAAATGCCCAATAAATGCTTATGTAATAAGTGAGCTTGGCTGACAAAGTGAATGAGTGGATGCGTAATGAGAGAATGCTAGCTCTAAGACACCAGGGTAGAATAAAAGCCATGTTGGAATGTAGATGGAAACTGGAGACATGCTGTACTGGGAGAAGAGAGAGAAAGACAGTATGGGAAGAGGTGGGTGAGGAACAGCTGAAAGAGCTAGGATGGTTGGCTGCATGGTGGGCACATTAGAGGAAATTAGCTCTTTCTTCAAAACTCTAATTGCTCTTTCAGAAGTTCATGCAAGGCTCTTCTGCACTGCTAACCTGTTTCCCTGCTTCTGTTTTCAAACCTGAAAGTTTATTTTTGATGGCTTATATTCCCAGAGATTTACAAAGGATTTACATGAGCATAAACTATATCTTCGATTCAGTACTTTCTTCTGGACTATTTGCGGTATCTAATGTCCACATTCTCAGTGGAAGGGTTCCCCCCCCCCATCTCAAATCTGTTAGATTGCTTTAGTCTTTCCTCATTGAAAGATGAGGGAGTTGAAGGGGTTTGCAACCCCATAGGAAGAACAACAATATCAACCAGCCAGACCCCCTAGAGCTCTCAGGGACTAAACCACCAATCAAAGAGAACACATGGAGGGACCCATGGCTCCAGCTGCATATGTAGCAGAGGATGGCCTTATCTGATATCAATGGGAGGAGAGGCCCTTGGTCCTTGTGAAGGCTCGATGCCCCAGTGTAGGGGAATGCCAGGGTGGTGATGTGGGAGTGGGAGAGCACCCTTGTAGAAGCAGGGGGAGGGAAGGGGATAGGGGGTTTGTAGAGGGGAAACTGGGAAAGGGGTAACATTTGAAATGTAAATAAATAAAATATCCTATAAAAAGAAAAAAGGAAGGAAGGAAGGAAGGAAGGAAGGAAGGAAGGAAGATGAAAACCTATTCCAAATGTTGTTGAACCTAAAAAAAAAAATTTCACTTGACACAGCTGTTTTTTATTATTCTAAGCCATGTGATTTGATTTCAAGCAACACAGTTTAGGGTTTGTTTGGTTGTTGTTTTTTTTTTTAAGTTCTAACATCAGTGATTAACATAGGGACAATTGAAGCTTCCATTCTCTCTGTTCTCAGCCTGGTGATGCATCTCTGGCGGAGGACAATAGTTACTCTTGTACTCAGGATTTCAGCAAGGCTGCAGAAGCATTTGACTCCAGCTAGACAGCAGCAACAGGCTGAGATACACTCCCAGCCAGAGTCCTCGGGTTTGGTCCACACCGTTGGGATGACCTGGCATGCTTTTTATAAGAGCACGTCCTCAGCTTCTCTCGTAGTCTTGGGATAAAAGTCCCACTGGATGACTAATTTGTCCAGGGAGAAAGAAAGCTAAAGCTCCAGGCTTCAGAGAAGTTGTGCAGTCTTACTACTTCTTTTTGTAAAAGACAAACATACAAAAACAAAACAAAACCTATAAACCAATAGACCAAAAACCTATAAATTTGACTAATTATAGTTGTATATATTTATAGGGTACAATGTGATGTTGTGATTTATAAATAGGTAGTATAATTAAATCAAGCTAATTAACATCTTTCACCTCAAATAGTCATCATTTTTTATGGGGAGAACATTTGAAAGCTATACTCTTAGCAATTTTTAAATATGTAATACTCTATTTTAAACTATACTATTGTGCAGTGGGAATGTTAAAAAACCCATTCTTCCTTTTAATTAATGTCTTTTGTTCCCTTTGGCCATTATTGCCTCTGTCACCACCATGATACTCTCTGCTTCTGTGAGTTTCTTTTGAATTTTACTATATAAGTAGTAACTTATGACATGTTTTCATGTACCTGGCTTATTTCACTTAGCCTAATTCTCTAGTTCTATTCACATTTCACAAAGAGTGGAATTCTGGTTTTTTTTAAAGGATACATAATAATTTGCTGTACTTATGGGCCATATTTTCTTTATTCATTCAGAATTGATTCTGAACTTAGCTACCGTGAATTGTGTGGCAATTAATATATGAATGCAAACTTCTTTTAACAAACCGATTTCAAGTCTTCTGGGAAAATATCCAAAAGTAAGATTGCTGCATCTTTCGATAGTTACACGTGTATGTTTTTCAGATGTCTGCACAGTCTTTCATAATTATTGTGTTAATTAACATCCCCACCAATATTTCCTAAATATATTGTTTACTTAGGTAAAAAGAGAAATAATAGTAGAAATTAGTCTAAGATGAGTGCTGAACACAGGAACTGCTGGAGGAAGAAAGGCAGCTCCAGGCTTTAAGTGAGGCCCTGGATTCTGCCATTGAACTATCTGAACCAAACCAAGGATTCTTAGCATGCATCCTGTGTTCTCATACTCCAGGATATCCAAGATGAAGGAGAAAGTGAAGCAGAAGCGAGAACAAAGGGAGTATATAAGCACAGTCAAAGTCAAGGTGGCCTCCATGAGAAAGCAGGCTCTGGAGGAGCAGTTCAACGAATGGGTTCTCACCCCTAAAGGAATGATTCCAATAGTTGTGGTAAGAGGGAGCACACTTGTGGAGGGTATGTGGGGTGGGTGGTGAGAGGGAGCGCACTTGTGGAGGGTATGTGGGGTGGGTGGTGAGAGGGAGCGCATTTGTGGAGGGCATGTGGGGTGGGTGGTAAGAGGGAAGTTGCTAGCACATTAAGTGGAATGTCAGAGGCCTCCCTTGAAATTCCTCACAACACTGAACTAAGCCAGTTCCTGACTTGTCTACTCCACAGGAGTTTATTGATTTCTTCAAATCTTTCTCTTGGATATGAAGAATAAAATACAAATCTGGGAAGATTTTTTTTTTTAAAAAAAATCTTTATTCTGATAAGGGTTCCCAGCATAATTAGGCAGGAGGACAAACTTTAAGTTCAATACCAGCTTGATCTATGTAGTGAGACTCTACCTGAACAACATATACACAACACATTCACACACACTCTCTCTCTCTCTCTGTCTCTCTCTCTCTCTCTCTCTCTCTCTCTCTCTCTCACACACACACACACACACACACACACACACACACACACACACACACACACACAATCTCTCTCTCTCTCACACACACACATACACACACACACACACGTACTCTTTAAAAAATGACTAAATTCATACATGCCTCTTATCGCAGAACTTTGAAGGCTGAGGCAGGAAGATTACTATAGATTTGAGACCAACCTGGGCTACATTGTAAAACTCTTGTCTGTAGCACTGGAGAGATGGGGCAGCATTTAAGAGCATTCACTGGCTGCCCTTCCAGAGAGCCCTGATTCAGTTCCCTCCACTCAGTGGTGCCTCACAACCCTCTGTAACTCCAATACCAGGGGATATGATGCCCTTTTCTAGCCTCTGACGGCATCAGGTGCACATGTGATATATTAGACACACATGCAGGCAAAACACCCACACACGTGAAAATAAGCCACATTTTCTAAACAAAAACAATTAAGTTGGTAATTTTTGTGTACATTTTAAACACACAAACTAAACATACTTTCATAATGTATAATCCAATGATAGCAATCTTTTATATTTTCCCAAATTACTTAAAATTTCCTGTCCACAACAACTCCTGGGTATTGGTGTATGTAGCAGCTTTACTTGTAATTGTCCACACAAGTGAGTGACTTGGAAATCCTGCATTAAATGGCTACAGATCAACTGGTGTGTAAAGCAGTAGAATGTGGGTGCTTAAAGGGAGGGGATATCAAGCCATGAGAGGCATGGAGGAGACTTAAGTGCACGCTACAAAGTTGGAGGATCCAAGCAGAAAAGACTGAATATTATGTGATTCCAATTACATGATATTCTGGAACGGGAACAAAGTATGGAAAAAGTAAAAAGATAGGGTTGCTATCGGGGAAGGAAAAAAACAAATAGGTGGAACACAGGATTTTTAAGTTAGCATTTAAGTAAAATGTTTGTCATTTTTATATATATGAAATACATGATACAAATATAACTTATAAAATAAATATAAACGTTATATAATATATATGATACAATATGCATGTAATATATATTATGCTTTGTTCTTAATTCATCCTCCTTTCCCAAAGCCCTCCCTCATGTCCCCTTCTTCCTCTCATATAGTCTCCCTTTCTGCTTTCAAGCCCCACATGCCCACTACATCCTTCTACACTATCTCTCCTCCCTTTAGAGCTCTTGTTTGTCCCTGTGATCTCCACTCTACTTTGATGACCTATACACATATACTTGAAATCAAGGTTCCCTGTGTGAGAGGAAACACTCAGTACTCAGAACCATCTTGAGTTCTACTCATTTTCCTGCAATGTGACTGAATGATTCTGTCCTGCTGAATAGAATCTCATTGTGTAAGTGCTCTACACTCTCTTTACCCATTCCTATGTTGTTGAGCTTCGAAGCTTGTCCTATTTCCTAGCTATTAGAATATTAAATATTTGAAGATTGTGAAACAACCATCTATGATACTATGGTGACAAGTGCCACCATTAGACGTTTGTCAAACCCCTAAAACATCTAATACCAAAAGTTACCCTAGGTATGAACTGTGGGCTTTAGAAGAAATAGTGCATTATTGTAGGTCCATCATTTGTAATAGTTCTACAACTCTATAGCACAGGATATTGGTAGTCAGGGAGTGGTGTGTGTGTGTGTGTGTGTGTGTGTGTGTGTGTGTGTGTGTTTATGTGTGCATGCGCGCATGTTGCTGGGGTACTTGGTACTGCCTGTTCAGTTTAGTTTGAATCTAAAAATTCTCCATAGAAATTAAAATCCATTTTTTCCTGGTATAGAGGGGGTTTATTTGGGGGAAGGGAGGAGAATGATGGCCTAAAGAAGGGGTAGAGACAGACATACCGGAGCAGAGTCATGAGGACAGAGAAGTGGGCAGAGAAGGGCAGAAAGAAGGACAGAAAGAAGGTGGGGAGAGAGAAAGTCTGGCCGGGAACAGAAAGAGAAAGTCTAAAATCTGTTTTTTAAAAGGGGCCAAAAAGAACTCTGCAAATTTTTGTTTAGTAATTAGAGGATAAGGAAGTACAGAGAATCTCAGGATTGCCTAGACAGTTGCTAAGATGTCTTATCTATGTCACACCATCACAGGCTGCTAGCTATGTTCCCAGGAGGGGACAAAATGGGATTATTCCTGGTGTCTCAGCCCTCACACAATAAGAACGGAAATCAATGAGGGCATATATAAGAAGGTGAAATACTAAACTAAACAGAGATTAGATCACCCAGCACTTAGAAAGACTATACATATACATGGCTTTTAGTCTTAAAAACTAAATATGTGGTCATTGAGGAGTAATATGTTCTCTCCCCTCCTCTCTCTGCAGATTCAGAATGTCCTTTACGATTTTTTTCAAAAGCCAGAGCTGAATCTTGGTAAATATGCCTATTCTGTAGCATTTTTATATTTATTTTTTTTTGTAAGGAGGCTGAAGTCATATAGTGTCTTAGTTTGGGTTTCCGTGTAAACTTCTGTCTTAGGGTTTCTTTGCTGTTAACAGACACCATGACCAAAACAACTCTTATAAAAGGCAACATTTAATTAAGACTGGCTTATAAGTTCAAAGGTTCAGTCCATTATCATCAAGGCGAGAAGCATGGCAGTGTACAGGCAGGCATGGTGCAGGAGGAGCTGAGAGTTCTACATCTTGTTCCAAATGCAGCCTGGAGAGGACTATCTTCAGGCAGCTAGGAGGTGGGTCTCAAAACCCACTCCCACAGTGACACACTTCTTTCAACAAGGCCACACCTACTCCAACAAGGCCACACCTCCTAATAGTGCTACTCCCTGGGCTAACCATGTTCAAACCACCACGTATAGTCAATATTAAGACCTATGTTGTTGGAAGCACTTAAAGATAAATTAGCCTCCCCTGTTCTTTCCAGAGACAGGATGTCAAAAACCACTGAAGTAATCAACCATCCTGTCTCTCTGGTCCAGCGCTTCCTTATATTACAAATAGTGTGTGATTACCCACCTTTAGCATCCTATGACATTCCCAGAAAATAGTAATTACAGAATTTAGAAGAAAAACATAATGCCATAATTAAAGGAAACATTGCTGGACATGGGTGGTGCACGCCTTTAATCCCAGCAGTCCAGAGGCAGAGGCAGGCAAATCTCTGAATTTGAGGCCAGCCTGGTCTACAGAGCAGAGAGGCATTAAAATTATATGTAGCTATGGCCAGAGAGATGTCTCAGTGGTTAAGTGTGACTGCTGGAAAATCATAAGGCTTGGAGTTCAGATCCTAGCACCCAGGTAACAAAACTGCTGACATGAAAATGGCTATAACTATAGATCTGAGGAATCCAACACCCTTTTCTGGCCTCCACAGCATCCCCTCTCCATGTACTTACATAGACAAACAAACAAACAAACAAACAGATCTTTAAAAAGTTATATGTACTGAATATGAATATATAAATGTCTGGTTACAATGTCACTAGAACAAATGATGAATAGACAGACCTTTTTAACCTACTTTTAATGAATAGTTAGATATAAGAAAAGTAAGATTATATCTAAGTAACTATTTTCCTTGTATTTGACATTTTAAAATAAAGGCAAAAAGAATTTATATATATGTATGTGTATCTACATATACATTGATATTCTTATATATACACACATAGATATGTGCTATTCTCATGACTAGGGTTATTACAAATGCAGACTGACATAGATGTATTGCATACAAGTTCACATTAAGATTACAATGTCTTTTTCTATATATAACACAATTTCTGAAATGGTGGACAGCTACTGTTTAAGTTCCAGAATAAATTTTACATTCAACCCTCACTCAAAAATTTCACAGTAGTTATATTTTCAGAAAAATTCAATAGCAAAATGAGGGGCCGGCTGTATAGCTCAGTTGAACAACATGTACTCCTTAACCATGTACAAAGACCTGGACTCAAAACTCAGCAAGGACAACAACAAAACAATAGCAAACTGTACTCTGTAATTAAATATAAAATAAGTTCTAAATTCAAAATTATTATAAGCAGACTTTTCACCTTTTTCAATGTCTGACAGGAGGGGGGAACCTTTATTGCATAGAAATTGTGGGAATTCTATCTCTATACCAGCTCCCCCACACACACACACCCACACACTGAAACAAGAAAAGCTCTCCCACAGATCTCCACTGTGCACACCAGGACAAGAGAACAGCCCCATTCCTGTAGGAAACCATAGGCTTTGATGCATTTATTTGAGACTAGGTCAAGAAAAATCTAACCTGTAACATAAGAAGTAGAGCATAGAGTCTCGATCCTGGGATTTATGTAATTATTTTGCTTTATTTTGTTGCTTTGAGGTCGGGACTCACTATGGTAGCTGCTGCTATTGCTGGTCTGGCACTGTGTAAACCACCCCAGCTGGCCTGGCACTCAAAGAGATCTTCTTGTCTCTGCCTCCCAGCTTAACACACTGTTTTTTTGTTTTTTTTGTTTTATCACTGTGTTTAGTGAAAATTTTTTAATTCTTTCCTTGCTCTCCCCTCCCA